AAAGATTCTGTTTCTAAACAATGAAGCTGTTATAACTATATATAGCTTATAACTATAGCGCTTTACCAATCCTATGCGTTTAGCAAAGTTACGGTGACGTGACATAACTTTGGTTATAAAATTTGTTTGTTACGCGTCAATAAAATTTTGTATCTTAACAAAAGTTTAATTGCGCCAAATAAAATTTGATTGGAACAACCAAAATTTTGTTGCTGGAACCAAAAATATTTTGCTGTCTAGTCAAATCTTTTTTCTCAGTGTCATGTTTTCAGATTTATAATGAGAATTAAAAATGAGAATGTATAATGTGTAACACTCTAAAATCAATTTCAATGAAAAATTTTTATATATGCGTAATTCTTTCAATAACATTTACGAGTTGAAGAAACATGAAAGAAGTGCGAATTTAAAAGTATATACAGGTGTATCAAGAATTTTAATTGCGATTGAAATAGTCGCAGGGAATGATAAATTTTATGAGAAGAGAAGATTTATGAAAACTGCGTCAAATATATATAGTATTTACATTGTACATACAGTATTGTATATACAGTGGCAGTATTAATTTAAGTTAGTGTATGTTGATGTATATATATATATACTATGCATATTATACAATACTGGGCGTGTAGAAAAGTAGATAACATTATATCGTTTTGCGGTGTTGAGAGTGTCGCCTACGCGTTTCTCTATGGACCATCCATTTGTATGCCGGGAACAACCGAAGCTGTTTGTTATCTATATCGCGCGGTGCCTAACCAAGGAAGCTGATATGCATATAACAGCTTCGAGTTTGCTCTCACGCCGTCGTTGGCGCAATTTTATGTCACTGTAGTATAAAACGGGTCCAAACACAAGCTCTCCTAGGTCCCCAGTTTTCAAATCGTCTTTTTAATGCAAAAACTTTTTTATGATCGGGAAACTTATCTTTTCTTTATATACCAGATTCTTTCTCTCTCTTCGTTTCTTGTATTTAATCAACTTTTCCTTTATATTCTCTCTTTCTCTCTCATCTTAGCTCCACTGTTTCTCTTTTCTTCCTCGCTCCTTATTTAGCTCCTTTTTGTCTTTAGTTTTCATTCTGAAGGAGTTTGTTTCAAGATTGTATATATAGTTTTTCCTGACAAGAAGGTATGATAAGTCAATTTGCTGAAGCTATACTTGGAGATAAAGTCGTCTCATTTTATTATAGAGAAAGAACAGTTCAGTACATGCACAGCTACACACTAAAATACTTTTCATTTCAAAATACAATATTTTGTTTCTAAAATTTGAGAGTGTATTTATTGATGACATATAAATTTGTTGAATTACACGGTGACATTGTTTTGAAAGTCTTTACAGTTTTCCGGATTTCCTATATAGAATTCCTCTATTACCTTAAATTCGAAAGCTAATGTTATATTATTCCAATTCTACTGAAAACTCCCTACAAGAACAATGTTTTTGTATAATTTTTTGATATTTGAACAAATAATAAATATATTTCTAGATTTGATATATAAAAGACAAATATTAAATACATAAATTTACAAAAAAAAGGCGCGCATGAAAACGACAATATGAATTTCAAAACTTATATGTTAAAAAAACAAAATTTGCATTACAGATTCAAAAGTTGAAACAATACACCTAAAAAAATCGTTATTTGTGTACACAATATCTCAAGGAAAATTGTCGTTTTCTTTTCTTCAATTCGAAACATATATAAATCTAAAGTTTTTTTTTTCCTTTGATCTTTCAACGTGAGTCAAAGGTACACCGGCTGGTTGGCATTATTCTTCGTATAAATGATCAGGATCGGCATCAGTCTTGCGATTGGTCGCGGTGGTATCGAATGCGGTGAGTGGCCGGAACGTTTTGTATTCCGCACGCCATTCGGTAGCAGCAGGTTACGTTACCAGTCGACGACGTTACTTGCTTCTCGTATATGTGTGTATAAACCTATATATAAATACAACATTGCAAGAGTGACATTTCAGGCGACATTCTATGCGCCTCACTGTGAGGCCAACATTCATCTTTGCTTGCGGATTCCGCACTCGTTATTTACTTCACGTTCATGAAAATGAAAAAGGCGGAGTCTTGTGCAAGTTCGCGAGGTGAAAGTCGCACCAAAGCTGGTATTATACACCTTCACGTGATGGTCCATATACTCTCAAGATGGCAATATCTTAAGGGAACTTGGGAGAGAGAAATAGTTCGACGGGTGGTACCACTTTCGTGGGAAATGTCGTGGATTATATTATATATATGGGGTTCAACTTTTTTAATTTATCTTGAAAAGAAAAATTAATCCAGATCAACAACAATTGCAAAGTTGTTTCATTCGAGAAATTCCCCCTTCTGCAAATATAATATATTATTCGTATATAGTTTTCGATTGAACATGTATATATATATATATAGTTTCTATCATTAGTCTTCTAATGACATTTTTATCTCTACCATACTGAACAAGAACTGGAACAAATAAAAAGCTGTTAGCGATGATAACTATTTATTATATTTCCCATGAATGTCTCTATGGAGGATCATATTATAGGTATTATATACACCTATATACATATATATATATATATTGAGTGGATATATAGAAAAGCAACATTTCCTGTTTACGGGAATTTTAATGTTTCAATGGAAACCTCGATTTCCTGTTTGATAGCAGGATTTTAAGGTTTATATGGAAAAGTCGATTTTTCTTGTTTGTTTGATATTTTTATAGGTTTCGTGAAAAAAGTTGATTGTTTAAATGCGTATGAATGTGGATTTGAAATTTATATTGTTGGATAATTTACTAATTTGACGCATTAGTGACTTTCTTTAAAATCTAAAATCCTCATTAAATCCACTCTCTAAATTTGAATCAATGACACTGCAGAGAGAAAAGATTGGTTGGAGTTACCATTTTTGAGATGACAATTTTTAGTTAGTAAACTATACCTTAAAAGAAAAAAAAAATTCTTCTTTAGTTGGTAAAAGGATATTAAAATTTTTTTTTCAAATGAAATAATCGTAAACGGTTGTACAGATCGTTTTTTATTATTTGAAGAGATGTATCCTGTTAAGTGCGCAAGCATATTTTTGAATCGTTTCAAGAAGGTGATTTTAAGACCGTTTATGACGATGAACCGGCCATAAGGTAGAGTGTATGTATATATATAGATATGCTTTGTGGGCAAAAGTACCGCATTGAAGGCAGTAAATACTGGTATCTGCTATCATAAAGTATAGCATTGGTTTTCTAGCGGGTACTCGCGCGCAGGGACGATAATAATTTATGTTTTGTGAATGCGTGCGGTGTGCGTGTTGACAGCTGAAACACGGCTCCTCAATGACTCCGATTGGTCGACATCGGCCGCCTTATATAGGGTGGATAGAACGCATGCGCACTCTCATACAACAGCGTCGTCGCTTGAGAATTGCAGCTATATCGTTGTTGCGTTGTTTACTCGCGCAACATCCATCAGCGTCCAATGTGCCGCTGTCAAACCACTGTAGCCCAGATGTCACTTATCCTTCTTTCCTCTCGATTCTTTACTTGTCATTTGTTTGTTTCTTTCAATACGTTCTCTATAGCGTCTTGTCTCTTTTTTATCTTTCTCTCTCTTTCTCTTTTAAGATTATTTTTTCCCCTTATCCTTTTACGCCAAAAAAAGTAAGATCAATTTTTATCATAAACTTTTTCTAATATGAAATTTAAAAAGTATTTTTGCACTTTAGTTGAAAATAATTTTTTTTTTAATTAGAAAAATGTCAAGTTGAATATTTTTTTTCGTAGTATTAAGAAATTAATAAGAAACAATTATATAGGGGACAAAACAGAATAAAAAACAATGAAATAATATATATATATATATATATATATATATATATATATAATTTCTCCAGTAACTGTTATCATTCGTTATCAATGTACCTCTTTTCACACTGTATATATTTCTGACAAATTTCTATTTTTACGAGACAGATATATATACAACTTCCGTTTTAATTTATATATAAATTAAAGAAGAGTTATACTCTGATAAAATATGTAATTCATTTTAGAAAAAAATAATTTTTTTTAATAGTTTTGGTGATGAAAATAAATTCTAAAATTTTTTCTAGTGACATTCGATTAAAAATATTTTTGTTGAATAATTCTATACATTTTATTTTGTGATTTAACAATTTAAATTGTTATATAAAACTGTAATGTCCACAACCTGTTTTTCATCACATGATGAGATGTTGACGGATTCACTGAATCGTTCAGTCGATACACGATTTTGTTTTGCTTTGCACATTGAGAAATCGCTGATCAAAAACGTGACTATATATTAGTACATAACAATAAGAGAAAAGTATGAGAAAACAATGAATGTTTTTCTTTTTGAATAAATTTGAAAATAATTTTTCTTTTTATTTTTAAATAAATTGTAAAATAAATTGAAATTTTATTTCGAAAATAGAATCTGAGGCAAAAAGTTGAGCACAAGTTTTTAAGTATTTTGCTGTAGAGTTAAAAAAAAATAATTATGCCATTTCCTTGCGATAAAGTCAAGTAAGCATTAAAAGACGTGTATCGCGTTTGAAGTGATGATGCTTCGTGCGGTTTATACGACTGCATAAATGCCCGCAAGTTATTTATCGACTTTCACGAAACTAGATAATGTATATATATATATATATAATGTTTTTTGTATATATAACAATGGAAGGAATGATGTCCTTGATCGTAAATGAAGTTATTACTTCCGCCGCGGTAATCCTTCAATGAAAAATAAAACATTGGGATTTCATCTTTTATTGTAAACATAATAATATATGATGAATTCCTCTATATGGAGGAAGAATTTATTAAAATATTTTATTTATTTATTTAAACCATACGGATATAAAAATTAGGATTGGTATAGGTACTAAAATAATTAAATAATTTATTTTTTTTCATTATTTGGTATTAGAGAAAGTGTAGAAGTAAATTTGGAAAATATATGGAGGATAATTGTTTTCAGCAGCCGGCGAATTCGCAGGAGCGTGGCAGCGGCTTGGGTTTGGGGTGTCAAGGTGGTCCAGTAGGGAGTACGGGGGTGGGGCCGGGAGCAGTTGATCAGGCCCGAGATTTGAGTCCATGTTTGCCAGCGTCTATGGGAGACGCTGCAAGACCCACAACTCTTCCGTCCAGTCCACCACCTCAGCAACCTTCGCCGTCGGTTCATCATCACGGACCTCATTCGAGAACGGCCTTACATCAAACACATTGTGGGACCAATAACAATTGTTACGATTCTACCACCCCCTACGATTCCAGGGATTACGGTTCTCCAGGAGGTACAAAATTATTTTTTCCATAAAATCTCTTCTTTGAGAATGTTACAAAATAAATTTAAATGAAATTAAATTTGAAAAAACTGCAAACGTAAACTTTTGATGATTTACAGGTACAACAGAGTATAGAAGTAGTGGAAATTACGAGCCCCCTAGTGACCTTACAATGCCACCGCATTCGCATCATCATCATCACCATCATCATCATTTTCACCATTCCGTCCATCAGCAAGATCAACAGTCCTCGGATCATCTTCAAGCAGTGCCAAAAATTGAACCACCTCCAACGCCTCCGGCACAACCGGAAGACATGTCGGGAGTGGTTTGTGCTGGATGTGGACTAAGGATATCGGACAGATTTTATCTTCAAGCTGTGGATAGAAGATGGCATGCCTCTTGCCTTCAGTGTTCTCATTGTCGACAAGGTTTGGATGGCGAGGTCACGTGTTTCAGTCGAGACGGAAACATTTACTGCAAGAAAGACTACTATCGGTGAGTTATATATTTTTTTACTTAATACGCTTTAACTATTGTATTATTCTTCGGACTCTCGCCAAACATATTTATAACAATGGCTTTCTCTCTCTCGACACGAGGTAGGAGGATTTAGATAGAAAATGATAAATTCTCCGGTTCTTTCCTTTTATTCTTCTTTTAAACCAAACACAAGAGAGTCTTTAAAGATTTTAACAGTTGCTTTTGTCTTTTGAGAATTGAATATAGGGCGGAGACAATGGGGCGGAAAAAAATAACATTGTAATCCATATATTTTTTTTTCTCTAAAAATATGCAGAAACAGTTTGAAGTTAAATTATGCAAATTGATATTATTGGAAAAAATTTTTTAAAATTTTAATTTTGTTCCCATAGATTTCGGTTTTAGGGAAAAAGGAAAACTTTCGGTATTACACAATTATTTTTTCACGCGATAGAAAACGCTGTTTATTTAAAAAAAAAAATGTTTAAAAACATAAATTTTTAGGAAGCATAAAAAGTGACCTTAATTAAAATTTTCCATGTCCAAAAGAAGAGTAAACGCGAGTTTTTCTCTGAAAAGAAATACAGAATATAGAAAATATACATTTGTTGGAATAAAATCTTGCGGTAAATGTTGTATACATAGTTTTAGTATAAAAAAAGTCTCCAAGTACCTACATAAATATACTCCATATAGTATATATAGCAAATAGTGAAGTGTGTCTTATCTAATTGGGAAGGTATTATAGTGCCTTTGAACACACATGCATTTAAACAAATCGTGGTGACGGCGCGGCGCTTATACACGAGTACCGCGGTTGTTTGACATTTATTTATTTAGATTCCCACTCCCTCTCTCGTTACCATTTAATTCACCGCGATATTCATTTCAATGTCGCGTTACAATTTTCCGCGAGCGTGAATAATGAAACGTGATTCAAATGATTACAATGTCATTCAATGTCACATTCGCCAATTTCTTTTCCAATACGTGGGTATATATATATATATATATATATATATATATATATATATATATATATTGTATTTTAATCTTGATTTGTACCTGAAAATTTAACTTGAAGTCTTCACTTTAATTTATAGGAGGAGAATCACAATGAGGCAGTAAACTATGGGGAAAGAATCTTATTTCACTTCTCAACTATAACGATTAAACTCTTATCTTTTGTAACGCGAATTTGTTTCCAATTTCAAGGGGATAATAAGACTATGAAATTAATCTCTATTTAAGTTAAATTGATTTTTTAAAACTTTTTCCATATTTAAAACTAAATGAATAAAAACATAAATATAGAAAAAGGAAAAAAAAGTCCCGTAAATATTTATTAGAATATTTTATTAAATTTCTGTATTTGTTTTTTTTTATTTAATAGTAATAATTAAAAGTAAATATTTAACAATAATTAAATATGCATTAATTAATTTAAATTATTATTGAAAAATTGCCTTTTTTGTAAAGTAATCCGACTAAAAGGACTTTTTTTTGTATCTTTTGTATCTCATTTTTTAAATAAAAATTAATAACTTTATTTTTCTAATTTCTGTTAGGTTATAATTTATTAAATTTAAATTTAATTATTTTAATAATTTTTTATTATTTTTATATTTATTGCTAAGAATATTAAAAAAGAAATTGTTGAATAATTTTTTTTATCTTGTTATGATGTAAGGAAAAATAGTTTTTTGAAAATTGAATTTGCCCTTCACTTATTTTAAAATTATACTGAACATATATATATATATAGATATGTTCGGGTGAACTTTTCTCTTTGGTAATGGAGTCACTTAACTAAATAGATATAACTGCTTCTAATTTTCTCGATTACATTCAATTGTTGTTATGTAATCTGTCTTTTACTGAAATTCACTTTTCCATGTTCAAGGTACTTTAAATTTTATTTAATAACAAAAATATTGAATTTCCTGTTATTGAAAAAGAAGTATATTATATATTCTTAAATAAGGTTTTACTATATTTAAAAAAAACATGTGCTGTATGTTCCAAGGATTGAAATAATTTCTTTGGACTATCAATTTTTTAAAAATTACTACAGCAATTAAAAATAACAAAGTACAGTAAATATTAATTAAATTATTAATTTATTTTTCGACATATAAAGCCATATTTTGTAACAAAATTTTAAATTAGAAAGTAGGAAAGAAATTTCAATATTAGAATTTAGTTAATCCCTTCACACACATATGGGACATTTACATCCAACCTAAAAAAATTTCAATATCTTCAAACAAAATTAATATTTTTCATTTAACTTGAGTTCATTTTCTTGAGAAAGGACAGAGCTTTAAAAATATGTGGATCATGTTATGCCTAAAATTTCCTATTGTTTAAAAAAAAACCCCAAAAAACCACAAAATAACAAGTTTCGGGCGAATCTAAACGAGTTTTAAATTTTTGTCCGACATATTGGATCCGCCATTTTGAATTTTTGGAACCTAACTCCGGATTCGTAATCAGCGACCCTAAAAACCCCCGAGTAACAAGTTTCGGGCGAATTCTACCGATTTTTTAATTTTTGTTTGCCATATTGGATCCGCCATTTTGAATTTTTGAAAACCAACACCGGATTCATAATCAGTGACTCCAAAAACTATAAAAACCAATTTAGTTTTCTTCTTTTCATTTCTCAGTTTGGCCTGGGTGTGAAAATGTTAAATTAAAATACTTATGAAAATTCGGTTTAATAAAAAAGTTTATATACAATTGTGTTAAATATAGAAAATAGAAAAAAAATTCCAAATGTACATTGTGTATGAGGAATATTCATGTGTATAAAAACGAAAAATAGACGCAGATATAATATGTATGTGAATGGAAAAAAAGTAAAATATAATTGGAAGAAAGAGACGTTGGCAGAAATAGAAAAAAATTGTCAGAAGACGACTTCTCTCTAATCCGTCTTTCATCTTCCCGCGACTCTCGAGTTGGAAAAAGTATATAGTTAAAAAAAAAATTGTGCGTTATTGTAATTTAAATTGTAGGCCTCCTTTGTGTTTACTGTTTATATTCGTAATCAGAGAGTTTTTCCGAGACCGAGAGTGTCTGTCGTTCAAATTCCCTTGTGTTCTTTTGATCGAGTAAAATTCCCATACGTGTATATTATAAGTGTTATATATATATAGTGTTGTGTACCAATACGCTGCTTTGCGGCTTTTAATAAGAATTCTCTCACGTTCAACCTCTACAGTAAATTCCATTCCTGGAAACAATTGTCCTGGCTAGTAGAAATACGCGGAAATCACCTGTCTTGCCATGTTCCGCTCGTCGTAAGCTACAAATCCTGATTAAAGGGATTGCCGCCTCCTTTTAGTGACACGGTTTCAAGTTGAGCTTTTCGTACCCCGCTCTAACACCGTGCGCGCACACACAAACACAAATGCGATTCCCATCTCGCCAATATATATAATCCTCTATTTTTATCCCTTTAGCTTTTCACCGTTTCATATCTATATACATCATAGAGACAAGTTTTTCAAGTGTTTTTTCTGACACTGTTGAAGAATGACAACAATTGTTATGTTTCAAGTATAGATAATAATCACTCTGTTTTGGTCAAGTGATTGTTGAGATCTTTGAATAACATAATGTTATAATACTTACGATGGTAATCATTATATTCTTTGTATAATCTTTTACTGCAATGTTAATACCGTTCAAAATCCCCTTCAGTTGATTGTATCTTTATTTTCTTTTATTTTCCGCTTCTGTTTCGAAAGCGAGAAGAAAATTTCACTTTCACACAATGGATTTTGCTCTCTTAAAGTTGACAAAAATTCTCGAGTGTCTTGAGAATTTTTTTTCTTCTATAGAAAAAAAAAAAAACTTTAAAAAGTTCATTTTTATAAAATAGGAACAATTAAAAATTTTCTTTAATGGTTTTACAATAATTAATTAATTATTATTGCATTTGTTCGTTCAGAACTTGCAGAACATTTCGAATCAAAAATCCTTTTTTTGTGGATTAAATTTAATTTAATATTTGGATTATTATTATTATTATTTACTGAAAATTTGAATGATTTTTTTAAAATTTAATTTAATTTTCAGTGAAAAATAATTGAATTTTACTAAAAGTGAAAGACGAACTCGATTACGATTTACATAATTAACCCCAAGCTTTTTTATCTTTCTTATTGATTCTAATTGTCATACAAACAGTTTATACATTATTTCTCAATGCTTTAAGAAATATCGAGAGCAAAATATTTACAATATATTTTTGATACAATAGAACTTCATGGAATAATTTATATTGTCAAATAAAGAATGTTTACCTACAAAATTAAATATATTCAACGTAAATAAGGATTGAAACATTAAATATCTGTATTAAATATAACATATATATTTAGAAAATATATAATATTTGTATTTTATCGGCTTTGGGAAAATTATGATTTCTGCCATGTGTTAATTTTTACAAATTCAAATTTAAAAAATAGAAGAAAGTAAATTTTGTGAAAAATGCAATGCAACAGAAAAAGTGAAGTAATTGTTGTGAAATCGATCATTAATTATTTGTACAATATTGGCGTTCATGGCTAAAAGGAGAAAGAGGTTCAGAAGGTGTGGAGGTACAGTTGGTAGTATATAGAGAGAGGGGATTTGGAGGTTTTTAGAGGGACCGGAAAGTGAAGGAGAAAGGCCCCACACGGTGGTATTTTAGCGTATTCCCTTTAGCCCTTTCTTCCCCACCTTTAGAACCCTTTACACACGGATCTTCCGTTTCGTATATATAGACTAGCCTCGTCCACGGACTAATGGTCACGACTCGGCCATTTACCTCCGGCGAAGCGTCGATTCTTGATAAGTAAATCACCGCCGATCTACACTTCACGAGCGACGGATGATACCTATACGTATACATGCACGCGCAGTCCCTTATACATACGGACATACGTCCTCACCAAGATCAATCCTTTCCGCACGCCTCGCTCGCCAAGATGCCGTTTTCAATTCCAATTAAGGATTCGTTC